AAGTTGAATATTAATAATGTGGGATGACCGCTGACATAATAAAATCATACTGCGGCGTGGAAAGGTGTCACAGAGTCTACGTGAGAATCACTTTCCGGAATGGCTCGAGTAACACCATATGTTTTGTACGCACAGCATGTTGAAAAAAAAAAATAATCGCGAACTTAAAATGACGCGACTTAAATTTAAATTTAAGAACTTTTAAGTAAAAAAGATTCTAGTATTTGCTATAGCAAGACAGAATACATCATAAATGTAGCATTTAGTTAATAGTTGTTATTGTTGTAACCAAATTTTCCCTTTTAGTTTTTAATATTTTTTATTGCTAACACTATTTGAAATATTTTATCAACTGCACATTGGTTTATACCAGCTGTCTTTATATTTAAAATCAGCTGATCTATTTTTTGCAGTATAAATAAACTCTTTCTTAAAAGTTTCGGGAACATGACATGACGTGAAAACTAAGTGACTCACGTTATGTCAACAATGAATTGTTTATGGACATTGTGAGAACTGCATTTTTGTTATTGTTGACACATAGTCTAGCCGTTGCTTTTTTGTTAATTTTGACGTTATTGTACCTTTGATAAAGTCGGTTTGCTTTTAATCCAAGGACATGTTAAAGTAACATCGCCAAGGAAACAAGCTGTCAGTTTACTCAAAAAAGTGAAATTAAAGTGGAAAAATTCCCTTCCCGTGGGGCTGCCCAACTATGGGCTTGTTTGTGTCAACTTTAATTTCGCATGATGAACATTTACCCGAAAGCCATAAAACAAATCCTTTATTGACCAAGTTTGTTGTTCAGTATGGCTGGATATTTGCCTCGTTCTTTTTTTGCGAGTTTATGGACCTCGACTCCGTCTCGGTCCATAAACAAGCAAAAAACGAACTTGGCCAATATCCAGCCATCTTGACCTAACAAAGTTGGTCAATAACCCATCGATATTTATTATGTTTGATTATAAATGACTAATAGCAGTCTTTCATCAACTCGCGTGACTCGGATTGTTAATGGAGTCAATAAGTGAGTCATATATCAGACATATAACACTAAAAAAAGCAAATTAATTTTGTTATCTTTCTTCAAGGCCCCACAGGTTTGTTTTGCAAACCAAATATCGGGCAAATTTTGTGTAATATTGTTTGGTTTCTTGCCCTTAACATCAGTTTTCCGTTTAGTTCAATTTATTTGTAGCTTCTTCGGGCCATACATTACCTTTTCATTTAGCTTGTCAAATACTTACCAGCCACCTCTCCCGACTTTATCACGTGCATCACGTGCAACCACATATTTCATGAAAAGCCAAAACTTGGAGGTTAAGAAGACATTTTACAAATCCTTTTTCGAATCCTTTCACAAATCACTTTATTTTGTTTTCTTCGCCCTGTTCTGTAAACCACATTTTGTATCTTTTTTTTTTT